TGATTTCCAATTGTCTGTTTGATCTGAGTTAATTCCAACCACAAACTTTTTCTGGCTTCTTGATGATTGAAGCCATATACTGTAGATAAGATGCTATTGAAGTTACCATCCTTTGAATTAACAGAGCATGTAACTTGCTGAGGGGAGTAATACAGCACTTGAATGTCTAGGATATCAGGATCCCACAAAGTGAGGATTCTAGCTTTAGTAGAGCTATTTGCATTTGAAAACCAACTCCAATTCTTTGCAATCTTATTAGCAGCCACAGAAACCTTTGTGTCACTTATTTTTGTTTCAAGAAGAGAGAAGAAAGAAAGATGATATTGCATAATATGGCATTTTGCCAAGTGCTGTTTAGGGGACTTATTTAAGCCCCTAACATTCCAAAAGGAGAAATTCATGCTGATTTACCTCCCCTATCAATTGTAGAGGGATCAAAGTCATTTGCTTCATTGTTCAACAGAGAAAAAGGATTCATAATCATGGAATTCTTCCTCTCTTGATTCTGGATTTGTACCCTTGAAGCTACATATTGTGATTTCCTGCTGGTATTAGCGTGCACAACATGCACAGAACAGTGTTCTCCAGATAATCCAGAATTGATACTTTGCTGACAAATACCAATATCCTTTCCTGTGGACTGATTTATCTCCTGCAGTTTCTCCTTTCCTTTCCTATTCTCTGCAGGTGGAATATCAACATCTATAATATCTTGTGTATTCTGCTCTTCAATTGATTGATCCATCTGCTTTTCCTGATTACCAGGAATCTTAACTTGAACATGTTTGGGTATCCATTTTTGAACCATAGGCTTCCTTTTACACCACCTTGGTTTCAATTCATAGATAACCCTCTGAATATAAGAGCATCCATTTGGACCTTGAATAACAACTTGATCAGGCAACGGAGATGGTAATGTCACTTGAACCAAAACTCTTGCATAAGCAAGTCTTTTCCTATTAGCTGTGAGCTTATCAGTAGCAATAGGATGGCCAATGAGACTGGCAATTTTACTAATCCCTTTTTCATTCCACAGATTGAGTTTTAGTGCAGGAAACTGGATCCACATAGGGTAAATGTGTTCATCAACTTTTTCAAGATCCTCCCCCATAGACCATGCTTTTAATAGGAATGGTCTTGAACCAAAAAACCAAGGTCCACTCATAAGAACTTCATTCATTTCATCTTTGCTATTGAAATTAAAGAGAAAAACCCCTGGCTTAAGAAGACAGATTTCAGGAATTGCAAGATGTGCCCAGACTTTTTTAACAAAATTTTCCATTGCTTTGAATCTTACATTGATACCTAGAACTTGACCAACAAGTGAGAATTTCCAAAGAGAGGCTCCTTCATTCCATTCATCATCATCAAAAGTGACTGTATCGACTGTTTCAGAAGGAATGTAGCTCAAATCCAAGCCGCAACCTGGTTTTCTATTGTCTGAAAAGAGACTCGCCCAACTTTTCTTTTCATTCCCACCAGAGGTAGAAACAGTAGGATTCAAATTGTCACTATTGTCCAATGTAACAGTAGTTGAAACAGGCTTCGTAGCAGAAATCAATGGAATAGTATCACTTTTATCAGAAGGAATTGATTTTGAAGCAGAAAACAAAGGACTAGGATTAACTTCTCTTGGCGAATCTGGACATTGAAGACGAGAGAGAGAATCTGGACATTGAAGACGAGAGGAGGAACCCTCTTTCACCAGATCTACTTCATCAGCCCAAGTAATTTTATTAGAGCTACCAGAATTAGGAGATCTACCCAAACTAGGACGAGCTCCTGTCATCTGAGATCCCAAAGCAGTAGTGGATTCAAGAATATCCGCCATTGCCTTCTTCTTCCTTTCCCCCTTGGGTCCAGTTGAACCCATTATACTAGAGGGAGAATCTTCATCATCTTCAACAAAATCGGTATCAAAATGATCATCAGAAGCAGCTAGATTTGAATTTACTACTCCAAGACCAATACTAAGGATTTTTTTGCCATTATTTCTCTTTTTTCTCACCATTAGATCTCAGCAGGTGTGCAAGTTAGCAAACATCTAGACGCCCGCTAACTTGCACCACGGACTGCTCCACAATCGCCTCCTTCTTTGTAAGATAACAACATAAAAATACAATTCTAGCTTGATGTTACAATCGATGTAGATGATGAAGACACTGCTCTAGAATTGCCCAGGAAAAAGAAAAAGTTGAAGAAGGATTGATCTTAGCTTAATAAAAAATAAAACAGAAGAAATAAAAGACAATTTTTTCTTAAATATATTATATAATAGTTTAATTATTTTGAGTAAAATTAGGAATCTTTAGAAGTGAGTTTCATGAACTTTTTTTAGTATTTTTATATGCTTATGTTGATACTTTTATCATATAAAAGTATACTAGAGTTAGCATTAATCTTTAATTTATAATTTTTTATGAAGTCTATCAATGATTAGGAACAAACTTTATATTTTATTTTATATTATTTAACATACTTTTAATCACTCATTTTGTCTTATTGGAATTAAATATTCACCTAACACTATTTTAATATTTTTACTTTTGCAACACTGTACTTTCTCAAGTAAAGCTTGGTTTCATATCAGTCAAAATAATATAAAAATTCAAATTAGCTTCAAGTTATATTTGTTTTCTATCAATTCAAATATCAAAATAAAAATTTAAATAGGGTGTAGCACATTTAAACAAACATAAAAAAATCACGATATAAAAATTTAGAGATAAAAGTGAGCATAAACTATTAAAGTGGAACTGATGAATAAATTTTAGTTTAAAATAAGCCAAAAATACTTAATCATGGTATTTAACCACGTGCATTGCACGTGTATAAAATCTAGTAGAAGAAAACATAAGAGTTATTATTTTTATTCCCATCCCTTATACTAAACTTGTGTTTGGTTATAACTTTACATATGTAATCATGAGAAGTTGAATGATCTAATAGGATTATCATAGACCTTGACATGATAAGTGGGACAAAAGCTACGAAGTCAAAACTTGTGGGCTTCAATATCGTAGTTTCAAAAATGGAATTGTGGAGAATTTAAGAATGCAACTTCAATTTTGGTTCCCATAGTTTTTAAATATTAATAAAAAAAATTTCATGTAGGCAAAGGTTGTTTACATTCTCATATTAGCTTCCTCGTTTCATGAAGAATGGAATAGGCAGTAACTAACCTCTATACATGGTAATTTTTTAATTTTGTTTGTCCCTAGAGTCAATTTCTTTGACGTAAATTTTTTATATAAAATGTCAAAAGAATTTATCAAAACATTTTTTTGGTTGAAATCTTATTAACCCTGAGAAACCCTGAACAACTAATAAAAGTTGATCCTATACTTGAGGAACATTAACATTTTAATTTTTTTAAAAATCAAGAAGCCTGAGTTTTTTGATATGGATGACCAATAAATGTTCATTTGTTTTTCTGATCCTATACTTGGGAAACATTAACATTAATGTTTTTATGTTAGTGATCCTATACTTGGGGAACATTAACATTTCAATTTTTCTAAAAACCAGGGAGCTTGAGTTTTTTATATGGATAACTAATAAAAGTGCAATTGTTTTTCTGATTTCAGGAGGTAAGATTCCCTCGGCTACGTATGTTATCAACTGATCAGAGAGCGCGACTAAAGGCCAGTTTCCTTCCTTTTGACGACTACAGCTTCTGTGAGTGGATGCATAGCCTGAAGCTTGTACCCCCAGACATGTGCAAGCTTGTACTTACGCATCCCCTGAGCCCTGATTAAAATTACTTGGCTTTTGGTTGATGTCATTTTGTGATCTATCAACTTTCATTCACATACATGCAGTACTTCTTATTATGTGCAGCTTGTAATTCCGTGTTGTGTTTACTTTTGTATTTGGGGTTTGACTTAGATTTTCAACTTGTAAGGGTTTTAATATAGAACTTTGTTTAGAGATATTGAAGTTTGCTGATTTTTAGGTACGTGTGCGGGTTTGTTGTTGTTAATGTTATCAGTTTGATGGATGTTTGATGAATTGCTTGAATGAGTTACTTGTTTAGGCTTTCCATGGATTCACGCACATATGGTTTGTTTAGCAAATATATTTATAATTTTACAGGTGATTGTTGTTTCTGCTTGTTGAAAAGAGATTAGTTGTTCCATTTATATGTTAATTTTCTAAATATTTCCTTACAAACAAAGTGGTTTTTATCTTGCCTACGCGCTTCAAGATTAATTACGGGCTTATATGAAAAGTTTGATCGATTCAAATTAGATAAGGATATATTGCAGTACGAGAGTTCAAACGAAGTGGGTGTAACTTTGTATTATGTCTGAGTACACTTTCGCAGTTACATGCTAACTTTCATAATAATATGTTAACTTTCAGCTGAACATGTTAACTTTTTATCATAATATATTAATCTTCACTATTACATGTTAACTTTCACCATATTATGCTAACTTTCTTCGCAACATGTTAACTTTCATAATAATATGTTAACTTTCTTCGTAACATGTTAACTTTCACCATATTATGCTATAACACTGCTAAAAAATAAGGTATCCTAGACGGAAAAATACCGTCTAGGATACTCAAAATTTCGTCTAGAATGGATATTCTAGACGGAATTCCGTCTAGAATACCCGTCTAGAAAGTTTCCGTCTAGGATACATTATTCTAGACGGAAATTCCGTCTAGAATACATTCTAGACGGAATATTCTAGACGGAATTCAAAACCGTCTAGAATACATCCTAGACGGATTATTCTAGACGGAATTTTCCGTTATTCTAGACGAAAATTGTTTTTTTTTATTTTTTTAATTTTAAAAAGGTATCCTAGACGGAATTTGAGCATCCTAGACGGAATTTCCGTCTAGGATACTTGCTACAGTGTTTTTTTTTTTTTGCAGAATCTACTTTGGATGCTTATACACAATATTGAACAACAAAACATTATATTCATATTCAACACAATCTAATTATATTTCAATAACAAATCCTATTATATTCAAATAATACATTCACCAAAATAGTAGAGAGATACATAAATTGTTTACAAACTTTTACATAAATTATTTATAATAGCTATGACACTACAGAAGTTTCTTCAACTCCTTCCCTATACATTTACTCAAGCCCTCTTCTCCTTCTTCAGCTTCTTCCTCATCATCCTGAGTGTAACATAAGGACACAAGCAATGCATTAATATATGTACAAACTGATCCATAAGGATTAAGGACACAAGCAATGCATATATAAAACAGAATCATTAAATCAGCATAGTCGCTGCAGAAATTTGTGAGTTGCATACAAATCTTTTTTTTTAAGTAACTAAGATGAGGTAGAGACAGGTTCTCCTTTTTTAAGTTTAATTATGATTTACAAATATAACTCACAGAATGTGGCATCTCCGCTCCATCATATCTAGGGTAGTCCTCATACTCGCTCGTCTCATCATAACCTAAAAACCCATCAAATTTTCACACAATCAGCATTAAATACCAAGCACAACAAACACAAGCGATAAAACGCTGGAAACAGCAGTGTCATCAGTGATGAATTAACACAATCGACAACATTTATCAAGTATTTGGATTAACTATAATTGGCCAAAGAAGGCATTGTAATTTCATTTATAAAGCAGTGACACAAATGGAGCACGCACCCAGCAATCCTGCTGCAATGCTCAGAGCGACACCTGCGCAACTCATCCAACAACTCTAATACCAACAAACAAGATCTCAAACCCACCTATCTAAATTCAATTTATAATATTTACAAGAAAAGAGAATTTTCACTTACAGCATTCAGTGTATACTCACAATTTGACGCAGGCAACAGAAACCGATTCACCAAAGAAGACCCCATCACATTCGACTGCGGGAGGCTAGCGGCGACAGCGGAGGGATCTAGGGCGTACTCAACGGTGGAGCACTGAGAGTAGAGCTCGCCAATTCTTCTATATGGATTAGAGCAATGCTATATGGATTATGGAATATAACAAAATCTTAGAAATCTTAGAATGTCGGCAGAAATAGAGCAATGCGAGAGTGACAAAACAGAACTAGAGACCAAGTAAACTAAAATCAAAATTATTTAATTGCACATAGTAAAGCTATCATCTGTCGGTCCTATAATCTTAGTGGTGGGGGAAATAACCAATCAATAGATTATAGCAGGTGAACTGAAAGACCGATAACATATGATGTGGTGGAGGAAATAACAAATGATCATCTAAACCATCAACTTTAAAGATGTGGCTTTATTATGGACTGAAAGACCGATAACATATTTATGACACACAAGTCTAATATCCAGATCACTTGATGTGAACAATTTTCTAGGAGCATAATATTTACAAATCTCATTATTTAGTCATGTTAATATTTGATGTTCATACTTAATTATGATTAAACCCTTTAGTTGTCTACAATATGACCTTGCATTAGATTAAAGAACTGAAGAAGGAAAAGCAGGCTATGTCGATCTCCTAATATTTACAAACTCCACCACTCAAACTAAAACACAGGGGAAAAAAACGAATCATACCTTCAACAGTATCGTATCTCCGCGAAAAATCTGCAGCTTCTCCATAGTCTCAGGATTTAGAGAAACCATAGAATTGTCATCGTTAACAGCCTCATCAACCACTAAAAGATTCGCCGCCTTCTTCCTCTCCAAAATCGCAGTACTAAAATCTCTCTTCGTCCCCTTCCTAAAAATTCATAAAATCACCATAAACACAAACTAAAACCCTAGCTTTCTCAAAAAAGCCCTAAAAGTTGAAGAAATTGATGATGGAAAACTTACGGATCGGCTGAAGAAGAGGCTTCCTCTTGATTAGATGCCATGAGAAATTACTGAGAAGAGATCAGGTTAGAAAATTTTGAAGAGAATTATAGAGGAGAGGGAAGATATTTATAACAGAGAGAGGGGAAAGTTTGCTTTTGCTTTATTTACTTTTGTTTACTTGCCCCGCTACAACTAGAATCGGGATTCGGGTGAGAGGATGAGGAATTCTTGCAGACGAAGAAATAGAAGATGAGATCTCGGCCGTTAGATGTGACACTGATCTCCTAAAGACGACGGAGATGTCGAAGGAGAAGGGGCGACGGCCAACAGGGACGACGAAGAGGACGACGTGACGGCGAACAGGAACGGCGAATAGGGAGGCGATGTCGAAGGAGAGGGAGGGCGCGGGCGCGAGGGCGCAGGTGACGATGGGAAGACGGAGATGGCGGTTCTGGCCTTTGAACAGGGGAGGAGAATGGGGGAAGAAATAATTTGCGAATTTCTATGATTTTTAAGAGGGGGTAAAATTTAGGGTTGAGGCGGGAGAATTTAGGGTTAAGGCGGGAATTTTTGGGGGCAGCGGGAATTTTATGGGGCTGGGCCTCGGTGGTTAGTTTTTTCAATAAAAACGAGCCTAGTATCCTGGACGGATATTTTCGTCTAGGATAAATATCCTAGACGAAAATATCTGTCTAGGATGCTCTATTATTTAAAAAAAAAAATTAAATTAATATTTCCGTCTACAATAATATTCTAGACGGAATTTTCCGTCTAGAATATTCTATCCTAGACAGAATATTCTAGATGGAAAATTTCCGTCTAGAATATTTCATTCTAGACGGAAAATTTTCCGTCTAGGATATTCCGTCTAGAATACTTAATTTTCTACTAGTGTAACTTTCTTCGTAACATGTTAATTTTCATAATAATATATTAACTTTCTTCGTAATATATTAACTTTCATAATAATATGTTAACTTTCTTCGTAACATGTTAACTTTCTTCGTAACATATTAACTTTCATCATAATATGTTAACATTCACTATTACATGTTAACTTTTACCATAACATGTTAACTTTCTTCGTAATATGTTAACCTTCAGCTGAACATGTTAACATTTCAGTTAGAACTTTTAATCTTTCAAACACATCGAATTTTAGTTCAAAAAACTTGTTATGAAGAAAATTAACATATTATTATGAAAGTTAACATGTAATAGTGAAAGTTAACATATTATGATGAAAGTTAACATGTTTAGCTGAAAGTTAACATGTTACAAGGAGAGTTAACATATAATGATGAAAGTTAACATATTATTATGAAAGTTAACATGTAATAGTGAAAGTTAACATATTATGAGATTTAATAGTGAATCATAACTTGAAGATTATGTACATAATCTATATATATTATGTACACAATAACCTCAAGATTATGTGTATATATTCACATGATAGCCACAATATATTTCAAGATTATGTGTACAAATAAGTTTCCTGAGCTCAAAGAAACTACATTTAGATTTGTGATGAGGTCTATCTGCACGTAGTTGTACTGGTTTGTGATTATTTTTTTAATGCTAAGAGATTGATGTAAGATAATGCTTTTATTTTATTTATTGTTCTGTAGGATGAAAGGTTACCGTGGAGGAAAGAGAACCATGGTTTGGTTGTACTTAGATCAAAATTTAATAAAATGTATTGTGTCTATTTAGTGATTAATTATGGTATAATTTATTGTGATTACATGTAAAATGTATTGTGGCTGTCATGTGAATATGTACACATAATCTTGAGGTTATTATATACATAATATATATAGATTATGTACATATTATGATAAAAATTAATATATTATAATAAAAGTTAACATGTAACAGTGAAAGTTAACATATTGTGATGAAAGTTAACATATTCAGCTAAAAGTTAACATGTTACGAGGATGGTTAACATATAATGATGAAAGTTAACATGTAACAATAAAAGTTAACATATTATGAGATTTAATAGTGTATCATAACTTGAAGATGATGTACATAATCTGTAGATATATTATGTACACAACAACCTCTAGATTATGTACATATTATGTACCATAATATTCAGGTTTTGATAAATATAATTTATATATAATCTTTAGTTTATTATGCACATCAAGTTCTATTTAAATGAACTTGTACATATTCACATGACAATCACAATACATTTCACATACAATCATATTAATTACACCAAAATTAATCACTAAATAAACGCAATACATTTCATTAAATTTTGATCTAAGTACATCCAAACCACACTCTGGACCCCACCTGACTCCCCGATGGCCTTGCACCCACTGTTCGTGCTCGCAACCAAACACCATTCGGTCATGGCCATCGACACGTAGTAAGTCTTCCCATCCAAAACCAGCAGGCCTGCGATGCTAACGGGCAATGCGACGAACCCAATCGGCATCTCGCAACACTGGCTAAGGATAAAGGCGTAATTGAACTCATCAAGAGGTAGGTCGTTGAGATTCATGCCAGTAATTCTCCTTAAGGCCTCGTGTCGAACACCTAGAGCTTAATCTCCTCACCCTCTCTGCTCTTATCACAGCAACTCATACTTGAATTCCTAAAGCTCATAAAACATTCAAAATCTCAACCTTTACACATAATCACACTTCTTGAAGATAAATGCTCTCCGGTATATCTATTCAGTATGACTAATTTGATTTAGATACCAAAAGCTAAACAGAACATTGCACTGAGCAGTGGGCATAATAGATCTTCATATCAATAGGATACAACTTAGGCATAAACATGAGTATAAAGAGGAACAAAGGAGGCAATACAAAGAATCTGGTATTGAAGTGACAAACAAATTTATTCAACATCATGAAGTTACATATTTAAAATATAAAAAAGCAAAATCTAAGCCCCATGAAATAACATGGAAAGAGCAATGTTGAAAGCAATTAAAAAGAGACAACAAGACTTCATATAGAAAAAAGATAAAAATAGGCACTACATAAGAAAAATAATTTAAGGTAGTGAAAGGTATGCAATCAGCAGTAAGATCCTAATCCACAACCTTGCATAATTAAATATCTAAACAAGCTATGCAATTTGGCATGTCCACTGTCTCATTGATCAATAGACAAACTTTAGCAAAGCCATAAATGTTAGTAGAAATAATCACGTCAAATGAATAGAAGTCGTTCATGATTTATAACAAGAAGACGAGAACCACAGAAACATGATATATAGGACAAGACAACAGAAATAACATAGAGTAGTTCTTCATTGACCAGAACGAGACGTTGAGATCCGATGTCGTTGGATCAGACCTCCACTTGAGATCCAATGTCGTTGGATCAGACCTCCACTTGAGATCCGACTAGAACAAGACGGCGCCGGTGATCGTCAGGAGTTCTTGGTGCTCGAGGAGGCTGAGGAAGAGTAGATCGGCGTTAGTGTTAGTGGTTGCGGAGAAGATGAAGCCACAGAGGAGGGGGGAGGAGATTGAGAGGAGGAGGAGAAAGCCACAGAGGAGGAGGAGGAGAAGAAGAGGAAGAAAAGGGAAGGGTATTTTTGGAATTGTTTGGGCTGAATACATGGGGGTGAGTGTGAAAAGGGGCATGAACACATTTTTTTTGGGTTTTTGGGGGTTAAAGAGTAAGAGAAAAACATTGAGGGGCTGGGTAACATCCCCTTTAGTTTTTTAGGGTCTAGACACAATTTTCTCCTAATTAAAACATGTTATGTCTAATTTAACTTGTTTCAAGTCTAATTTAATTCATGTTAAGTCTAACTCAACTTGTTTTGAGTCTAATTTCATGTTAAGTCTAATTTAATTCGTATTAAGTTTAATTTAATTCCCTTTAAGTCTAATTTAAATCAGTCTATGTCTAATTCAACTTGTTTTAATCAGAATTTAATTGGACTTAACATGAAATTAGACTTAAAAAGGTTTAATTAGATTTAACATGATTTAAATTAGACTTAAAAGGAATTTAGCATGATTGAAATTAGACTTAAAATAATTTAAAATAGACTTAACATGATTTATATTAAGTCTAATTCTCAACTTGTTTTTAGTCTTAAAATAAGTTGAATTAGATATAACATGATATAAATTAGACTTAAAAAGAATTAAATTATACTTAATATGAACCGAATTAGACTTAATATGAACCAACATGGACTTAATATGAATCAAATTGGACTTAATATGAAATTAAACTTAAAATACGTTGAATTAGACTTAACGTGATTCATGTTAAGTCTAATTCAACTTGTTTTTAGACTTAAAACAAGTTGACTTAGACATAACATTATTTAAATTAGACTTAAAAGAAATTAAATTAGACTTAACATGAACTAAATTGGATGTAACATGAAATTAGACTTAAAACAAGTTGAATTAGACTTAGCATGATTTAAATTAGACTTAATATAAACCGAATTGGACTTAACATGAACTGAATTGGACTTAACATGAACCAAATTGGACTTAACATGATTTAAATTGGACTTAATATGAACCAAATTGGACTTAACATGATTTAAATTGGATTTAACATGAACATAATTGGACTTAACATGAATCATATTGGACTTAACATGAACTGAATTGGACTTAACATATAATCCATGTTAAGTCTATTTTAATATTTTATTTTAAGTCTAATTTCATGTTAAGTCTAATTTAAATTAGACTTAAAATGATTTAAATTAGACTTAATAAGATTTAAATTAGACTTAAAATAATTTAAATTAGACTTGAAATAATTTAAACTGGACTTAACACGAATCAAACTGGACTTAACACGAACCAAACTGGATTTAAAATGAATCAAATTAGACTTAACATGAACCAAACTAGACTCAACATGAATTAAATTAGACTTAACACTAAATTGGATTATAATTAAACTTAAAGAAATTAAATTAGATATATTCGGTTCATGTTAAGTCTAATTTAATTCGTTTTAAGTCTAATTTCTTGTTAAGTCTAATTAAATTAGACTTAAAACTTTTCTTTAAAATGACGGATGGATCCCTCTTTTGCATGGTTACAAACACAAAAAGCAATGAAGAGGGTGAGGGAATTTTTATAGTTATCAATGAGTTTACAGAAATCATTAGCTTAAAATATTAAGTGTCCCAAAGGCTTAAACTACCATTGCAATCTCTTTCGCTAAAATTTATATCCGAAAGGGAAACGAAATTTAGTTTTACAATTGATAATGACGACGACTTAAGGTTGATGTTAGAGTATTGCTATCGTAATGGATTTATAGATATAAACTTATATGCTATATCCGTTCGGGAATCCTCAACTTCTCAGAACACCTAAAATTTCCTAGAAAATGTGTAAGGATTTCAATTTTAATTTCCTTATGAGTTCATTATTAGGTTATGAGTTGGTTGTTAACCTTATGTATTAATTACGAAGATTTTGAGTTGGTTGTTAAGGTTATGAGTTGGTTGTCAACCTTTATGAGATAGTTATGAGTTGGTTGTTAAGGTTATGAGTTGGTTGTCAGCCCTTATCAGATAGTTATGAGTTGGTTGTTAA